TTGTTGGCGGTGCCACCCCGCGGCCCCGGGCAGCGCGAATGGCGCCGGTGCCGGGGTAGGGGGGCTGCGGCGCCGGTCCCGGGGTCCCAGGCCTTCGGGAGCCCCCCGCCACACGCAGGCTCTCGCCCTCCTCTCTCTGGTGCCATCCTTGCCCTTGCAAACGGCGCTTTTGGGTCTGAGCTCCCCTTCCCCTGCCCTGGGCATCGCGGATGGGGGGCACGGAGCCACGGCGGGGGGAGCAGGGCCGTACCGTGGGTCTGCACGGCGCTTCCCTGCTGCTGGCTGGGACCCCGGTGCTGCCGCAGCCCCGCGCCCCGGCACGCCGCACCCCAGGCCCGTCCTGCCTCCCTGCTGCTTGCCAGGGGTGAAACCGGGACACTTGATGGGTTTTCCTTCATGGGATTCTTGTGTCCTTGCTGGGAGAGAGCTCGGAGATCGGCTCTCGCTGCCAATGACCCGGCAAGAAATGCTGGGTTAACCTTTCCTTTTCTGGTCCTGTCTGCTCCCAGTCCTGCAGAGAAGGAAGCAGCCCAGTGGGGTTACTGGTTTGGGCACTGGCAGAGACCAGACCCGACCCACAGCCCAACCCAAGGGAGACGGCAGAGTTGGTGCAGAGGAGCCCAGCCAGTCTCTTTCACCTGCTTAAGTAAATTTTATTGCTGTTAGAAAAGCAGCTCCTTCCAAGCAAACCTCTACCAGCACGGAATGAATTGCATCTACCACAAGCGCAAACGCTGCTGGAGCAGAGCGTGCCGGCTGCGTGCCCGCGCCCTGCGATGCCCTCCGACAGTCGCCAAAGGGAAGCCACGGGAGCGTGGTTTTGGGCTGGAGCTCACAGGGAGGAGAGGTGTGGGGGGGGTGCCTGCCCCGAGCTTCTGCATCGGGTGAGAAATTGCCCCTGGACGATGTTGCCTGGGGACAGGCTGAGAGCAGCGGCCAAACGCTGGAAAGGACGAGCCCTTCTGCCTTGAGCAGTTGGGTTTTGGCCTGGTAGCCCTTCTGCCTTGAGCAGTTGTGTTTTGGCATGGCCCGTGACTGGGGTGCAGCAGTTTTAAGGAGAGGCGAATAAAGTAAGAGAATATTTTATCTCGCTGTAGCTCATCAGAGTTCTGGTTGTGCCAGCCCACGTACGCCGCAGATGTGTTACGGCTCTGCGTCTCTCTTGCAGGCAGGAGACCGGCGAGATGTTTGCTGTTTGCCCACCCGGTGCCCCGGCGAATGCCCCATTCCGGCAGGGCCAGGGGGCCCCGGCGCTGGGCACGGCCGTCCCGGGGGCCGGGTGCGGGCAGGACTCCAACTCCAACTTCGTGGGAGAAGTGTGTGACAGCAACGAGAACTGGAGCCGGCCAGCGCCGGGGTCCCCGCCGGAGGAGGGCTCCAGCCGGAGCGAAAACACGACAAATCCATCTGATAATCTGCTGTTATTAATGCAGAGACAGATGGTCCAGGGCCGGCTTAGGGACGCCGCCCCGAGTCTGGGCGCCGCGCGGCCGCGTCTCCCCGAGCGGGGGGCGCGCAGCCCCCCTGAGGGAGCGGAGGTCGGCGGGGCAGGGGGCCAAAACGCCGCTGCCGAGGAGCTGGCCGGGGGATGTGGCAAGGCCCCGAGCTCCCCCGCGGAGGACAACGGCTACGCCAGCAGCTCCCTCAGCATCGACAGCCCCGACAGCACCTGCGGGAGCGCCTGGGACCCTCCTGCCACTGCCCCCGTCCGTGGGAGCCCACCCCAGCCAGGGGCGGCCGAGCCCGAGCCAGGGACACTCTTCCCAGTGCTGGTGGAGGCCGTGCAGCACCTCCAGGACAAGGAGCGCTTCAAGGAGCGGGAGAAGGAGAAGCACCACATCCAGCTGGTGATGTACCGGCGCCTGGCCCTGCTGCGCTGGATCCACGGCCTCCAGCAGAAAGTCGTGGACCAGCAGAACCGGCTGCAGGAGAGTTTCGACACCATCCTGGATAACCGCAAGGAGCTCATCCGCTGCATGCAGCACGGCCCGGCGTGCCCTGCCGGCACGGCCGCCCCCAGCCCCTGAGGTGCCGCCGGCGCTGCCTCGTCCCAGCCCTCGCCCTCCCGGCTGGCATGGGGCTGGCTGGTGGCATCTCCGTGCCGCACGCCGGTGCAGAGCGCTTGCTGGGTGCCTGGGTGCCCACCCTGTCCTTCCCATCTCTCTGCAATGTAGCTGAGAGTCCCCAAAGCATTCATCTCAATTTTTCCTCTGCATGGGAATTAATTTTCTTCTGCACCGTGTCCCACCGGTCTGGGGACCGTGGGGCATCAGGCTGGGTAGACCTCAGGACCTTGGGGTTTGCTGAGCCCGGGGTGACGAGGCTCATCTTTTAAATCCAATTTACGGTCCTTTGTATGAGCTGCCTGAGCCGCACGTGTGCCGGGACGGGCCCTGCGGTGAGCTCCCGGGAGCTGCCTGGCAGCGAGGGCCTCAGGGCAGCACAGCTTTGAAATGTACCTGGGCAAAGCACTTCAGCGCTTGGGCACAAGCACAAGCTCGCTTCCTCCCCCGCATCGCACCCGCGCCGATGTGCCCATACAGAACCAACCCAGCCACCGTTACACGTTCCTCCTGCTTTCGGTGCGAGCAAGGTGTCCTGAGCTGTTCCTCGGACTCGCCCCGCTGCACCGCCTAATGAAGCACGTGTAAAAGCTTTGCAGATAAGATCTAAACTCATGCAGAGAGATGAGGGAGAGAGAAAAAAAAAATAATTCTGAAAAGCGATCTCAGAATGCTTAAAAATAAATTTAAGTGTCAACTGATTCAAATCCAATATATTTTTTTTAGATTCAGTATTAAAGAAGAGTTAATTTAAATTTTTCCTTACAGCCAGTCTGTGTATATGCACATCTGTCTGTCGCAGGAGATGCTTTAACACGGTGCATGATCAGGAAGCTGCTTGCAAAGTTGTGCTGTTGGTGTTTATATTAATTTATCATTTGAAAGCAAAGAGAATATTTTTTTCTAATCTACATTTTATCCAGTGAGGACTGCATACAGGATACGAAGAACAGTCTTCTTAAATAGAGATTAAAAAGGAGATGCTGTGTTTGTTTGCTGTATTTTACTAAGTGTTAATATGACATCTATTTAAGTTGCTGACGTGGAAGGAGTAGCAGCGGGGCGGTTTTGCTGTGAGCCGAGGGCTCAGCCGGGAGGGGACCGCGCTCCCCGGCTGGCCTGGAGTTGCTGTGCAAAGCCAGGCATTAACGTAGTTTTTTGTCTGCAGAAGGAGGGTGATGAGAGAGTTGCTGTTTTCCCCCAGCCAAAATTCTTCCTGCCGTCGGAGGAGCGGAGCTGAGGTGGGTGGCCGGGACTTTGCCAGGACCCCGCTCTGGTGCCGGGGTGCAGCGCCCAGCTGGCGGGACGGCACAGCCGGCAGCCGGGGCAGATCCTGGTTTCCACCAGCCGCTGGATGCTACTGCACTACAAATAAATAACCACGGCCCAGCCCGCCAGCGACCCACGGGGCCCGGGGCTGTGCCAAGCCTCCTCCCGTCCCGCACCGGGGCACAGCCACCGCTCCCACCGCTGCCTCTGATAGGGAAGGTGAGGAGATCTGCAAAACACTGCTTCTGAAAAGGACATTTTGGTGGCGAAGGGCACGCTCGGCTCAAAGGGATCTGTGCCGGCCTCCGCACCCGGCGCTGGGGGCCAGAGGCGTCCAGCAGCATCCCTGCAAGGCTTGCGCTGCTCTCACTGCCTCGCGCCCTCCTGCTCACTCGTGTCCGACACCTGCTGCCTGTGTCATATCCCAGACGTGTGATCGTGGGCATGTTGCACACCTTAATAAAAGCCTCGGCGGTGAAAGAGCTGAGCCCTGGGTGGATTTGTTCCTTTATTGCCCTTCACAAGGCTGCCGGGGTGCAGCGGGTACGCGCTGGGAGCAGCCGCCCTGTGCTCGCCGCAGGAGCGTGGGTGAGCGGCACGTCGAGGGCACGGGTCCTGGCACCCTCCTCCCACCCCTGCATCCCTGGGCATGCGCCGGCCGGCGATGCGCTGTACCAACACCGCCTGTTAATTCAGGCTCAATTTAAAAGCCTTTTTGCTTTTAAAAACTCAAGTGTGACACCGCTCCCGTCTCTCCCCGTGGCCGTGGGGTGGTGGGTGGCGGGGAGCCGGCACTGGGGTGCAGCGCGGGTGCAGGATTTACCCTCTGCCCTGGGAGAGCATGGCTTGAACCGGGGGGACCGGATTCCCCGGGCACCCAACCGCCCTGCCCTGCGGCCCCGGCTAATCGGGAGGGCTGGGGAGGCAGATGGGGATGGCAGATAAAAACACCTGAGTATTGACCCAAAGGTGACTTTGCCTCAGGCCTTGCAGAGATTAACTAGAGATGAAAAACCAAAGCTGTAGCAGGCCTTTGAACCTTCCTTCACCTTTTTTTTTCCCCCCTTCCTGCTTCTCCTTTACAGCCTCTGAATCTGTGGGAATTCAGGGATGCAATAGCCCCTTTTACAGACACAGGGGCTGGGTTGGCAATTCACGAAGGGCAGAGCGGCTGCATTTTTCTATCCTTATATGTGCCCTGCAGCCGGGGCTACGAGGAGGTTTGTCCCCAGCCCTCGGCTGGTTCATTGGGACGTGCATGTGCTCGGCTTTAAGGCCGGTTTTCCACTTTGGCTGCTGCCCGCGGAGCACACGCTCCGGCAGGTTTAGGGGAACCTGAGAGCTTGGGCCGCCTGCGCTCCCGGCCCTGCAGAGAGACCCAGCGATTCTCTGTTTATCTTGGTCAAACGCTCTACACAAATAATTATTTCCAAGGTAAATATTGTGAAAATCCAGATTATTTGCTCAAGAAATGAAAGAATAACTGTGGGAGCACATCAAAGTGGCGGATCTGCTCCGCAAGCAAGAGGCTTCCTCCTCGGTTATTGGGAGCCCCGATGCTTACGCCCCCAGAGCTGGTTTGAGATGGCCAGTGCTGATTTGCAAAATCAACTTCAGACAGAGTTTTTTTTCCACCCCCAGCTCCGGTGCCCAAACGAGATTTGTGAATTAATTAAAAACCCGACCGACTGCAGGGGGAAAAACAATAAAGACGGAAAAAGCTGCAAAGCTGAGCCCGGGCCAGCTTGGGGGGAGCCAGGACCCCGCTCTCCACTCGCACCCCGGGAGACTGGAACCCTGCAAACCCCCCGGCGCCCAGCGCTCAGCCCCCTCTGTGGGTGTGGGTCTGGCCCCACGCAGGATGGGTGCGACAGGCAGGCACCGGCTCGGGGCTGAGGACAGGGATGCACCCAAGGACCTCGCCGGGGACGTCTCCATCCTCAGGGATTTTCAAGCCTTGGTAAATAAGGGGCTGGATTCTCAGCTCGCAGATGGACAACAAGGCTCTCAGGGGCTCGGAGGAGCTGCTCCAGCTTCAAACCCTGCCCAGTTTGGTAGGCAGACCCGAGCGATGCCAGCGGGGTCTGGATCAGGCCATTGTGCGGGGCCGGGCAGAAGCGGAGAGCCGCATCGGGGCTGGGGCTCGCACGTGATGGCTTCCCCGGCGCGTGGGGGAAAACGAGCTACGGACCCCAGGGCATGTGAGCTTGAATTTCCATGCACAGCAGACAGGGCCCTTTGTTTTTAAGGTCTCCTCTGAAAGTTTATTGTTATTATTATATTAAATCCCTGTAACACTGGACTGGTTTTACTGCACAAAGCAAGATTTGGCAAATGTTGCCTTTCTTTGAAAGTTAAAACAATAGCATTAAAAAAAAATTAAGTATTTATGAAGCTTTGGAGGGAAATATTTTACCTTGTAATTGGAATCCATTCTAACTCTTTCCAGTATTTTGTGGGCTTAAAAAAAGTCTTTAAAAATAAAATTGAATGATGTGATAACTGATGCCACGAAAGTACAAAAGCAAATTAATCATCTCAGGCCATTAACATCCAGAGATCCAGACTGGGACACGCTTAAAGCATCCCGGGATCCCCTGTTTATTGTGTCTCAGAAACTTCCAGATCTCACGTATTTGGTTTGCCGCGGGAAAAGGGCTTTCCTTTGCTCTCGGCTGGCAGGGTGAGCCCAGCCGGGGCTGCTCCCCTCGCCCCAAATGCCGCACCGGGGCAGCACCCAGCGCGGTGAGGGGCTCTGTGCCCCCGGGCAGCCCCGGGGCCCCACCGCCACCATCCTTCCCCGCCGCTCCCCGCTGCACGGAAGAACGACCCACACCCGAC